ACAAGTAGCCGGTCACCCGAGGGATTTTATGTAAATATGAGGGCTTTTATGAAATGTGTGGTTATGCCCATCTCCTTCTTAACATAATAACGACTATCACCATCCTCGTCTTCTTAACATAACCACCATTGCCATCTCCATCTCTGACGCCACCAACACCACCATTTTCAAGCGTCGTCTCCGACACTCACCATCACCTCCTATCTCCGAGACCATCTTCAACACCCTCTCCACCTTCAACATTATCCTCTCAAATAAAACCATAGCCGCCTCCATCATACGATTCTGATAATTTCATCAGACGATTTTGACAATTCTAATGGTGATGGAGCTCTGAATCAGATATTGTGTGTGTCGATTTCATGGTCTGTATGTGTGTCGATTTTTGTAGGTATGTGTTATCGATTTCAGGTAGTGGTGGCTTGTATGTGTTTGTGTTGATTTTCGGTGGTGGTGATTTGTATGTTTTGTGCCGATTTCCCAATGGTGGTGGACAGTTAGGGTGGCAGTGGTTGTGGTGGTGGATAGAGATGGTGGTGGTGACAAAGGCTGGTGGTAGTAGATGGTGTTGTTGGTGACAGAGGGTGGTGGTGGTGGTAGAGTGTGTTGGTGGCGGCAGAGTGCGGTGGTGGTGGCAAAAGTTAGTGGTAGTAGATGTTGGTGGATATAATCACACATTTCATATAAATATAAGGACTTTTATAGTTTGGTGACCGGCTAAGAGGGTGTAAGACCGGCTAAAAGGTTAAAATGAAAAAAAAAATAGATAAATATGAGACATTAATGAAAAAAAAACGAAGTTAGGACATAACCACACATTTTATTTAAATATGTCGACTTTTATGTCAATAACCCTAATTATTATAGTGATTTTATCTAGACAAAACTGCAAAAATGGTCCCTATGGTATGTCAAAAATTGCCACTTTTATCCAAAAAGGTTTAGACTACACCATTGGTCCAAAACTTCGATTTTGTTGCGATTTTGGTCCTATTTGTTTTGAATTGTTTTAAATGAAGATTTTTCCATTTGTATTTTCTTTTTCAAAATTTGTATTACAGAAATAAAAAAGGAAAAAGTAGATACCCCACCTACCCACCACCTCACACACACACACACACGCTCTCCCCCCCCCCCCTCTCTCTCTCTCTCTCTCTCTATATATATATATATATATATATATATATTAGGTTATAACCCGTGTGCTACACGGGACAACTTAAAATGGTTTAAATATTAATAACATTGTACTCTAAAAGTATAATGTTGTAATTGGGAGGCTTTATCTTTCTTTTATACACATATTGCAACACAAAAAAAGATTGAGTTCTTAAAAATGTCAACAAATCAAAAACAACTTAAATGATTTCCTCAGGTCGAACTTCATATAATGAATCCGTAAAGAGAACCAAGTGTGTTGCTTTTATTAGTGAGAAAATGAAATTACATTGCTATATACAAATCTGCTATAAAATATGACAGATGTTTATAATCTTCACATCCCCTGATTCCTCTGTATATGTTCACAAATATATATATATTATATATATATATATATATATATATATATATATATAAAGACAATTTTAGAAGAAACTATGTAATATTTGATCATATAAGCAGTGCTTTTAATCTGGAAATTTAATACAAACAATACTAGTAGTAAAATTTTGTTTTAAAAAACCAAAAAAATAAAGGTATCTTAGCCATAAAAAAAGGGTTAATCAGTAAATTGATGCAATTATCTATGAAACGAAGGCACGCACACAAACATCAACAAAAACACATATACATACACAATACAACATTTGTATAACTTTGTCTTTTGATCGTTGATGACTATACGCTTTTTCAAGTATATATAAATAGAAAATTTGATAATTTTCTTTCTAATTGAAATGAATAATTAGTAAATGATTGTGTGCTTTTAACTATAATTTAGGTTTTAGCTTTTCCACTTATTCATCAAAAAAAAATTGTTATCAATTAACTGGGTTTTAGCTCATTATAACGTGTTTGTTTTTAATTATGACTTTTGTTTTTTATTATGTTAATCCTTTTTTGGTAATATAAGTGTACATACTTTTTATAAAATTATGTTGGTGTACATTAAATTATTATAGCAATCCTTCTTTATATATAGAATTGGCTTATACAAAAATAGGAAAAATAGAAGCAAAATTAGAAATATATATTTATTTATTACTGAATTGAAATTCATAACATTGTTATTTCCCGCCTTTAAACCAAGAAAAAAATAACCGTGAACCTAACCTAAACGATGATTTTTTGTATTGGTCCTACAGAAATAATAGTATACCTGATTGTAACGCCTTTCTGAATTCTTATACATAATTACGATCTTGTTTCCCTACGCTTAAGACATTTCAACATTCTGCAAAAACATATTAATAGGCATGGATCAATGTATCATGTAATGCAATTAGATCTCAGGAGATACCCAAATCTACCAAGTTATAGAATTAGTTTATCAACTAATTGAAATCGAAAGATATTTTAATTTCATTAATGGCAAGGTATACATACACAATAAAAGAGAATATAAGACAATTGAAACAGGGCTTAAAAAAGGAAATCTACCCAATAGCAGTGTACTTTCATCATCCACCCAACAGTTACAATATACTTTCAGAGGATGCACTCTAAGAGCAACCTAGCAACTCTTTAAAGTAATCCAATAGCCACTAGTAAGAACCATCAAGAAATACAACATAAATTGGGCAGATACAAAGACTCGATGGCAATTTCGTCCAAATTGCAATCACAACCTAAAGAATTGAGTAAAGGCATCAATACAAGGGCAAACTCAACCAGCAACACCAAAATTTGAAAAAATCAAATAAAAATTTTCAAATCCATAATATTCTAATAGATAATCATATAAAACAAAATATGATACACACAATACTAAATCAAAACTTTGAACAAAAAGAGAAGAAATTGACATAAATGCTAGTTATTCCTGACTTGATGCAAATCCAAATCTAACCTGACCACAGTCTTCGATATGAGGCAGTCGCGCAGCAGTAACCTAGAAATAATATGAAGAGAAAAAGTATCCAAAATAAAGAAGTTTTTGACACAGAAAACACAAAATAGATGTAAAGTATTTGGAATGGAAGTTTTTGACATACCAAACATGGAATCAATGTGAAAGAGAGTGAGTGAGAAAGAGAGATATCAAAACCTTATGTAAAAGCAAGGATGCAGTTTGTTCTTAATGCATGAATCGATCGAAGCAAATGAAGGTAATTCTCATTAACCCATTTCATCTAACACTTGGCGTGCAACTTTAATGTCATTAAAACTATAAAGAAATTGCATGTCTATGTTCTAATAAATCACCAACAATCGCAAATTAAATGCTATATACATAGACATAGACAACGAGGGAGAGGGGATTTACCTGAAATCGAAGTACTCACTTGTTATGTCAACTTATTTAAAGGGAAATGCAGTTCCCTGATTCTTCTTAACCATGTCTGCAATCATTTTTAAGAAAACAAAAAACCAAAATTGAAGCTTACTTGTACACTCATTTGTTGTCGAAGAAGAGGGATGAAAAGAAAAATAGAGAAGGAGAAAAAGAAATAAACCAGATGAAAAGGTGGAGGCGGTGGAGTTTGGTGGTGGTCGATTCAATATTGCAAAGCCTAAATAGAAAGTTTGTGAGGATTAGGTTTAGATCAAAAGATATGGAGTGGTCTCTTCCTGATTTAATGAGATTATGCTTGATGATCGGTTAAAGATTATATGATTTGCTGATTTTATGGGATTGATTGCAATGATAAATTGAAGAGTACACCGAGTTCTAAAACATTTGAGCTGGATCGACTCCATAAGGGCAAAGTAAGAATTTCACATAGATGATTTGAGCGGGAAAATTAGATGGGAGGGTGCTTAGCTATTGCCACGTGGCGAAATTGGTTTTATTTATTAGATCCCCTATTCTAATAAATAGGTAGATTTTGTACACGTGGCAGTCATAGAGCCTTCCCCCCATCGAATTTTCCCACTATTTTACACAAAGTGAATTTCCGGTTCTGCCCTTCATTAAGGATGTCCGTTTCCTGCATTTGAAATAAAAAAAGATAGGTAAATAATCATAATTTGATTAAATACGATAATTGAATCTGTCAAAAGGTAAATGCTTATCAATTCCTTAAATACCGTAACTTACCTAATCTTTGTTTTTTAAATACAATATCACGGTTTCTTCATTCACAGCGATTCCAATTTCCAGAGCAAAAGAGATATCAATTGCAGGAAACCATCTCAATTCGTCTTCTGTTTTTCTTTAAGGTAACTATTTCATTCATCTGATGATTCCTTCTACTGTTGTTTTTATCAATTTCTTTGTGTATGTATCTGTTTTTTTTATCAATTTGAAGACTTCATAATCGTAATATCAAGCTTTGTATGTAACTGTTACTGTATCTACCTATTCAGTTCACTAAGCTGTCTCATTTTTTTTAATGTATCTGTTTCATTCATCTTCACTGCTCTTTTTATTGATTTCTTTGTGTATGTATCTGTTACCGTATGTATATAAAATCATATATCAATAAAGTTTCAAATGCAGTTATAATATGGATATCAAAATGTTAGTGTATGTAGATAAAAAACACTATTGATAAACAACAGAATTGTAAAGATGTGTAATTATAATATGGTTAAAACAGTTTAATCAGTTTCTTCTTTGATGTTATAATATATTGCTATCTTCTTATTTCTTATGCTATTAATTAAATTTGCAAATTTCCTATTGCTATGTTCAACATAATTGATTTAATTTTTTATTGTGTGTATATGGTTTAAACAGTTTCTGTTTTACTTTTATAATATGTTGCTATTTTCTTATTTTTTTATTTCTTATGCTATCAATTCTTTGTAGGAAATGAATATAGGTAATAAAGTACACCTAAAAAGACATTGAAAGTTTGGCTGATGATTCACATCTCAAACTACAGGTTTTAAAGATGTGGAATTTCATAAGGAATAATATCGTTTTATCCATTGAAATGATCGTCATGGACGAAGAGGTTTGTTATATTTTTTTAAAACTACTAAATATTACATATGTTTCAATCAATATAATTTTTTTTTTATTTTGGTGAACAGGGAACAAAATACCAGTCTCGTGTATTTAACCAAAAATTTTCCAGATTTGGTCATCTGTTAAAGGAAGATCAAAGTTACATCATTTTAAAACCCAGTATGGCTGCTGTGAAAAATGGTTTTAGTGTTACCGGTCAGAGACAAACCATTACTTTGGATTGGAAAACTATTATAAAAAATGATGGGATTTTTCAGTGTTAATGGTTTTGTGTTTGTTGAATTTAATTCTATCATCGAACAAACTTGCCCAAGAGAGTCTTGCCTAGATTACTGCCCCCGACAACATCTCAGAAAGTGTTGTTATTCAGTGTAAAGATCCAGTTTGCAATGACGAGAATTTTCATGTTGTTTTAAAGTAAACACATATCTAGTTATATTAATATTAATTAATCTTTTCACTATTTCAACAAAATTAATATTAATCTAATACTTTTTTGTTTAGGTATATAATTCCAATCAACGTGCAAGATCATACCGACACCATTGGATTTACTCTTTTTGATAGGGAAGCAAAAAGATTGTTGGATATAAGTGCATATGAGTTGAAAAAATTACATGAAGAGGTATACTATTTTATTCTAAATTTTTTTTATCAAATAACATTTAAACGACTTCTTACAGGCTGGAGACAGTATGCAACTTTTTCCAAACCAAATGAACGTATTGAAAAACCGCAAATTTGCGTTTCTTGTAGATATTACATCCTACAACGTCAACAACTATAATAATATCTACAACGTTGTCAAAATTACAAAGGATGTGGACATTGTTTCCCATTTGGAAAGTAAACTAGAAATTTTGGTACATAACGTTTTAATGATCACCCTTTATATTTGTTTTTTTTATTTATATACATAACGTTTTGTATATGTCCATTTTATTTTCTAGACTACTCAATCAGTGTCCTTAAATGAAGTACCCCTCGAATCAGATGATGTTGTTCAGAATGTTCAAAAGGTATTTTATATTCCCATATTAACTTTCATTAATATTTATATATTCCAAATGACAGCTTATTTTTTTTTTAATTTAGGATGTCATATCACAAACAGATGAGAGTTTTACTCCATCAACAGTTGATAAATCATCTGCAACCGGTCCGCTGAAAATACCAACTGATTTGAAGCGCAACCTCCATGACATTTATGACGTTGATTATGGAGGTGATTTGAGTTCGACAAAATCTAAAAGAAAATCAATTGGAGAGGGAAATACACTTTTAGTTCCTAAAGTGGAAAAGTGAGTTGTTTTATGTTTTCAGAAACAAATTATAATTTTTGAGATGGGTTGCTTTGGTTTTTAAAGTTGTTTTAGTTATTTGGTACAATGATTGGTCGAAATAAGTTTGTTATGGGACAAATTTTAAGATAATGGTTCGTTTAAATTTATTTCATTTTGGTTTTTTTTTTTTTTTTATTATTACTATCATCGTTGGAATGTATTTTTTGGATGATTTCAATGAAATATTATTATAACTATGTTGATTAAATCTCAGACTCAATGTGTTTCTATATAAACAGTTTATGAAACACCAGCTAGCAGGTAGCTACATGACCTGATGCACCTTTCATTACAAAATCTTGAAAGACTACATTACTGTTATTACATATTTGCATTAGATGGACAGAAAAGTGTAAATATGTATGACATGTTCATGAAAAGGTGTCGTCCAAGATGAATTAGATGAAATATCAATTCCAACAGGTCGTTATTTGTGTTCCTCATTCACACTCTCCTATTTTTCTTCAACCAACTTTTACTTACTTTTTTTATGGGAAAATTGTTCTTACTGCAGCAAATCTGCAAAGGTTGGTCTATCTCTTCTTTTCGAATTATATTACATTGTTGATTTTTTTTTTTTTGTATGTGAATTTGTAACAAATTGTACATGTTCTTCTGTGTTACATGTTCGTTAAATCCATTCTAATTGAGATTTCATGAATTATTTATTATCCTTTTTTTCCTAATCGTTTTACTGCCTTCTTTTTTAAAGTTGTGATAGACTAAAATTTATACTTACTTACTGTTTTACTTTTAATGTCAAAGTCAAGTAATCAAATTTTCTAACCATGGATAATAAGCTTAAGGTCAGGCATGTTGCAAATGACAAATGATACTCCCAAGTATTATTAAATTTATTCTAAAAAAAAAATATATGCAAACCAGATGGCATTACCTCCATTAGAGTCGCAGCTGAAGAAAATAAGTAGAAGAGTGCCACGTGTCAATCTCCCAGACCCCCAAATTTGTTTTTTCCCGCTTCTTTTCTTCATCTCCATCTTCAAGTCCTTTCATGTAATTCATACATACAATCCCGAAAAATATGTAACAAAAAGATGCATTAATAAAATTTGAATAAATAAATTGATTTTCAAAAAATATGCAAAAATCTGTTAATAAAATAAACTATACACTGCATGTTCAAGTCAAATATATCAATACCATAAATAATTTTTTAATTTCGTCCATATAACACATTTATTTGTGATTTTATGTAATCCCTTGTTAAATGCAAATCCTATATTTATTTTGAATTGATCCAGAGTCTATTAAATCCCATAAAATCAGGTACAAAAAAATATCCAATACAATTTAAATAACAATATATGCATAAAATCCGGAGTTAAATTCTGAAAATATTAAAATAATAACTTTTATATGTATAAATATACCTCTAATCGTGAAATACATCTTCTTTAAATTCCAGATTCTGTCTTCTTCGTCTTTCAAAAGCATCTGCGATACTTATATCGCCTTTGTTACTTCAATCTGCTTCGTAAACTTTCTATTCATCTATTCGGTTCACACATCAACTACCATTGAATTCTTCCTCCTGTTAATCCTGCAAAACATCCATAATCACATATCAGGTAAGTTTTTTCAGACTAATTGGTAGTATTCTTTTCATCAGTTTCTGTATTTTCTTTTAGTACAACTGATGTATAAAAACAAACACCCTTTATTTTATACAATAACCCTCAACTACTATTATTTAACATACACTCCATGATCGTTTTTTTCATGAGTTTCCTGACAAATAACATATTTCTTTTCTTACACTTATGTTTCAAACCATTACAGTTTCAGAATCTACGCATATTATCGTTCTACTTTTGATATTTTGCATTCAATTGCTCTCATTTAACATTCAATACCAATATACAAGTTGCCATTTTAATAAAAAAAAGGCTATTTTGTTACTTCTAAGATTTAATGTTGAAATCCATTCGACAAATGATTATCTGAATATACACAAACAAAAACCAGAATGGAATACTATTACAATTTTGCCCAAATAAAATTAAATGCAGCAAACAGAAAGCCCTCCTATCCCTTTGCATTTGTCAGATTTATCTTTTTAAATAATATTTTATAAAGCATATTCAACTGATTTTAAAGGTTATATGGCTACTTTTTTACACACGGATCATTTATTTGTTAAGATTTCAGTGACCACTTTAAAAATAAAAGTGTCTTTCGGAATTTGCTTAACAATGACTTAATGCTTTGACTAATGGTACCTTGGGTTTTTGTTTTTAATTTTTTATGAAACATGTCGAACCCTTTCCCTTTAAAACATGATAAGTCTGGTTTTTAAGAAACATTTGAATATGCAGAAAGTCTTTCAACTCAATATTATAACCAACGTTTTAATGAAAAATTGTAATTGACACACTGTAAACTTGAATGTTTTCTTTAGAACATGTAACTTTAATGAATAGAAATTAATATATAAGTAATTGCCAAAAAAAAATATATTATTATGTAGATTGTAGGTTTAATAAAACAAAAATGAAAATTACCTACATAATATGTTGAAAGGTTTTACCAATGTTTATAACTTCTTCATTATCTGTCATGTTGTCATTTTTTACCTCATCTATTTCTTCCACCTCTTCATTTAATAAGACCTGCTATCTTCTTATTTTCGAACTCTATCCCTGGCCTCTGATTTTGTTTGCAAATGAAAAACACAAAACAACCACATCAACCCATTTTTGTTATACTTGCAGCTGATTATCCCCGAATGAACATAAGTAGTTGAAGTTGTTAAATACTTTGTCAATTCAAATACTCTACAGATATAGAATAAAATTTGAGCAACAAATTCCTCTGTAATAAAATAAACCCCTTTATTCCAACACAAGAGAATGAAGATATCAATTTCAGAAAGAAGAGCATAGTCGTATGGAATTTAATATTCTAGGGTTTACGTTACCACCGATTGAAATTGAAAAAGGGAAAGAACACTAACCCATAGCAATCGAATCGAGCTTTTGAATGGTTTACATTCATGCTAAGCAACAACGGAAATCGCGTCTTTCATCGGCGTACATTAGGGATGATAGAATCTGTATACACACAACAAAAAAAACTCAATTTCTGAATTAGTATCATCGTATAACACTTTAATCATAAACTTATTATCTACCCAATAAACAAATTATATCCAGAAAATTGTAATCTCATTCAATAAAAACGAATTAACGGATACAGGAACAGCAAATAATCGAAACAGTAAGCGAGATAGGTAGTCCGACCTATGGTTATGAGGAGACTCAGGTAGTCTTTTTGCTGAAATTTGATTCATTCCTCTTCGATTTCTCTGTTTTTCCTGAAATGAGAGGTAGGGTTACGGTTTATTCTTCGCATCCTGTAACTTTGATTTCTTCAATTGCGTAAGGACAAAATATGTTTCCGATTTCATAGTGTGTATTATTTATTAAAAGGATTCATTTTAAATTATAAACTTTAATATTTTTAATTAAATTCACATTTACACAATATAAAAAAACATCAAATTTCGATTTTTTAGTATTTAATAATTTATAAAAATTTCAATTTACTTATTTTTTTAAAAAAATAATACATGACTCAATTATTTCTTATTTATAAAAACATTCTAAAAAAATGAGTTTAAAAAAATTACATAATCTTATTTTTTTTTTTTGTCAATCCTTAATAAAAAATACTTACACATACTACAAATTCATTACAATTCATAAGTTATCAAAATTAATAAAATATTATTTTATTAAAAAAATAATTTTTAAATTCAATTTTAATTTTCTACTCAGTTGTTTGTTGGATAAATATTATATCAATACTTAATTCTTATCTGTTAAGCATATTAATTTATAAACTAATTTGATTTATTTTTTAATTGTTGCAGCCATACAATACATTCGTTTCCTTCTAAAAAGACTAGAAAACTAAATAGTTTTTATTTAGATAATACAAAAAATATCAATTTGGGTACTAACATCTTCAACAACTACAAATGTTAATATTTCGATTTACAAAGGTAAGTTTTTCATATAAATTTTTTATTATAATTATTTTCGTATTTTTTAAATGACATAATTTTTTTTAATAAGATAAATATTTATTAACCTAAAAAAATAGATAAATTCTCAAATTCTTCCTCCGATGCAAGTCAATTTTCTTCGAAATTTGTAACCGATGCTTACAAAGGTACGTTTATTACTTTAATATTATTATATAATAATATTATTTACCTAATTATACATTTCATTTCCTGTCCTATTATTTATTATGCAGAAAACAACAATAACATGGACCAGTTGCAAGCCAGAGAGAAAAGAAGACAAAGAAAAATATATTTGGAAAATAAAAGATCGAAGAAAATGAATACAAGATCCAACATTCCAAGTACATCAATAGCGCATCTCTTAAAAAATATAATTAACTTTAACCCTAATATTATTTTTTATTCTATGTTTTAAGTTTATTTTACATTTATATACAATAAATGATCTCTAATATTTTTTTTTCAAATCCTATAATATTAAATGATTTCATGTCATTACTTTGTTTTATACATATGTCTTCATTTTTTATAAGTTTTTTTTATTTGCAGATCAATCAAGCAACATTGTTGGTCAAATTGAAAATGCCAGTTCATTTACTTCACCTGCAATCCAAAATAGAAACGTACAATACTCTCCTTCCTTTACAGAAGTTAGAACTCCGTTATCTAACATTACAAATGTTAGAACTCCGTTATCTAACATTACAAATGGTAATAATTTATTGTTTTTTAAAATGTACTATTATCCATATTCTATATAATCTGCATATATATACTTATTTTTTTTATTTTGGTCAGATAACATCAGTTTCGATAAATATTCCACTTCGAACGTAGCAAAACAAAAGACAATACTATGTACTTTCAAATGATATGACATCCAAAAATGCATCTACATTAACTGGTTCTTC